TAATGAAACGGGAAATTTTCCAACTTCACTATATCGTATGATTTACTATATAGTAGGTTCACTATATCGAGCGCCGATTGTATACTCTAATCTAAAAATTTTTTGTCTCAAACTTCAATATTAAACAAATTTATGGAAACCGAAATTTGTTGAGGAAATTCTAGATGAGCATTTGAGTTAATAGTGTAGAAGACACACCAAAGTTGTGCAGAGATTCGATATTAAAAATCAAAGATCATTGTGAACCAGAAATATTTTACTGCAGCAAATGGATACTCTGTAATACAAATGTTAGAATAAGTAACATCAATTTCCAGACATAAGTTTCAATTTAAATGCATCAAAAGTTGATGTTATATGTGGAAGAAAGCTTCCCATTAGTGTACTGCCAATATCAATCTGGTCTCATCTCAGAAACTTGTAAAGAATGTGATTAGGTATCTGAAAGATCTTACAAATATAAACCATTAAATAAATTGAGAAATCAGGATACAATCTTGCAATATCTATTTATTTCTGTTATGTAACGTGTTTTTCAAATTTATTTTAAAATGAAAACAAATATTTCACATGACAAAAAAATGATTGGGTATCTTGCTTTAATGATAATAAATGCTTGTATATATGTTTATTACATGGTGTTTACATCAGGATAATGAATGATCCAAAGCACATATTACGCGTTACAAAAACCTTCAGTTCTGAAAAAAAGAATTTGCGCAATAGACCTTAAAGTATACGTAACACAAATTTTACTATGATACAGTGGATAATTTTTTGGCTGCTGATCATTAAAATATATATTCTTTCTATCCAAGTAGTGGCACAGGGCTATTGGAAATTTTTTCTATTATAGTGTTGGTATTAGGAAAAAGAATACTAGAAATGAAGAATTCGAAAGGCTTTAATAACCCTGATAGTGCACTATAGTATTAGTATCCTTTTGGGAAAAATGAGTAGCCCACTGCAATCGTGCCCTTTAGAAAATAACTTGCATATGAGAATGCAGTACGTAAATATTAAGAAGAATTGCCAATAAAATAAAAGACACCAATAGGTATATGTAAAAGAGAAAGGATAATTGAATGAATGAATATATGTTTGAACAATGGATTTCAAGATCTTGGTTAATAAGGAAAATTACTTCTCTGTTTTCCACTTCTAGAAACACATTTTTTCAACTGGCTCTCTGAATACTTTTCTATGCAGTGGATACACAAAATAAGTAAAACCAAAGTACAAGATGTTTTATCAAAAAAAAGAAACTCCCGGTACGTTTATTATTATTATTCGGCCCTCTATAATTCAATCGGAAATTTTAAACAAAAAAGGCAAAAAATCGTCGTATCGATTTCCTTTTTTTTTTTTTCTCAATCTCAGAACTATTATCAATAAAAAAATTTTTTATTTAAAAACTTAAAATTATGTATAGAATCACACGACATCCTAATTGTATTATCAGAATACCATCAATTGATGTAATGTCAATAAAAACAAAATTATCTACCACCGTTACTGCAAGATATTATTATTTATCAAGTTCAACTAGACATGTAACAAATAAACAACAGCAATTACCAAGAATAATAGTTCAGGTTAAGATTATTTTCTATATATAATCTTCTATATATGCGTAATATCTTTAATTTTAAAATAATAATAATAACAATGACAATAATAGAAGAATAATTTTTCAACCAAGGATGATAAAAAAGAACAAAAATCTAATAACCAAAATAAATCCACTTTTACTAATACAACATCAAATAAACCCACACCTAATAAATCCTCTCCAATTGACAATAAATCCAATGTCGCCGCCACCACCGCCATTAACAGTGGTAGTGGTATTGGTAATGACCAATCAAAGAAACAAGGCGAATCTGGTAAAGTAGCAGCATCAGTAACAAAGACAACAAGCAAGTCAACTGATAATAAAGATGATACTTCAGAAAAAAATCAAAAACAACAAAAAAAAAGATTTCGATTTGGAAGATTTATATTTGGTGTGACATTTTTGGGTGGAGTGACGTATGGTAGCGCAGTTTATTATTCATTAAAGAATGATGCTTTTCGTGGTATGTTCACAAAACATGTATATGGTGCAGAACAAGTTGTTGATTATGTTGGGGATTTGCATAGGCAAGGAACTTTTGATAGACTCGAAAGAAATTTGACAGATATTACTCAGTATACAAAAGTAAAAGGCAAAGAAATTTATTATAATTTGAATACTAAAATATCTGAAATTATTAAATCTGATGATGTTGTTAAAAAAGAAAACGAAGAGAATACAAAAGACAAAGAAATTTATCATAATTCGAATACTAAAATATCTGAAGTCCTGAAATCTGATGACGACGTTAAAAAAGAAGAACAAGAGAATATACAACAACAGTTGAATGAACAAACATTGAAACTTAATCAAATACTGGCATCCCATGAGAAAGCTGTTGATGAATATATTAGAGGCAAGGAAGAAGAGATGAAAAGACAATTCGAAGGAGATAAACAAAACATCTATAACGAATTTAATCAACATCTTGTCACTGAACTGAAGAGACAATTAACGAAACACAAAGAAGAATTGAAGAATGAACTTATTAGACAAGCTATAAATTTAGAACGTGGGTGGAACAGGGATGCGAAGTTGTTGGTTGAGCAAGAAAGAGCAGGACGACTGGCCAGACTTGATCATATTTGTCAACGATTAAAAATACTTGAACTATTAAGTGCTGACAATGCAGAACATTTAGACAAAAGTCTGAAAGCACATAAATTATGGCGTGTATTAAAATCATTACAAGAAATTATTAATAGTAAACTTGATGGCGATAAGAGACCGTTCAGCAATGAGATAGCAACGCTGAAGAAGATAGGATCAGGCGATGAGGTGATCGTCACAGTTTTATCAACCATAGATGATTCAATCAGCAGCAATGGAATAGAATCAACCATCAACTTATCAAACAGATTTAACAATGTTAAACAAGCGATTAGACGCGCATCTTTAATACCAGAAGAAGGAGGAGGAGTGTTTGCACATTTGCTATCACATATATTATCTAGGCTGTTATTCCATAAACATGGATTAGTTGAAGGAAATGATGTTGAGGCAATATTGGCCAGAACTCAATATTACCTTGACAGTAATGATTTAGATAATGCAACACGTGAATTAAATCAATTAGTCGGTTGGCCTAAAAAATTGGCAGAAGATTGGTTAAAGGCTGCCAGAAATCATTTAGAAATCAAACAAGCCATTGAGGTTAGTATATAAATAACTATTATAATTGTATGAATTTATTCTCATTGTAATTGTTGATTGGGTTAATTAATTTTTTGCATGTTAATACCTTGTCACTTTTTAGGTAATTGAAACCCAGGCAATATTATCTAGTATGTCAGTTTCATAATAATAATGATAATAATAATATGTCTATCAGGAAAGCAAAAGAATAAAATATTCAGTTAATAATTTTGTTTTGATTATTTATTTACTTTCAAAATGTATTTTATTAATTTTTTTTTGTAAATGTTTTAAATTAAATTTTAATTCTGGTAATAACAGTTATTACAGTGCGGATCATCTATACAAAAGTTAAAAATTTTGAAATATCATGTGATCCACATGTTGGATTTTTAAAAAAACCACAAACATTCAATTCAGCTTCGAAAAGGGAGCCAATTCATGTAAAAAAAAAATTGTTTCGAGTTTTTTTTTCATTTTTTCATAAATTTTTTTTTTGAATTCGTTCAGCAATGAAATTGCACGTTGCTTTCTTAAAATTGTTCCACAATCTGTTAATCACATAAACAACTCCTGAGATTTATTTACAATAGAAAAATTAAACATATACGTTGACCAACGATCTGAAAAGTTGCAACTAGGCAACAATGAAATTAAACCATTAAAAAAAAACTTTAAAAAGAAAAATTGAAAAATTGAATCTGATTCAAATCAACAATCAACGTTAGATGACTTTTTTAACTGATTTGGTAAACGGTTATATTTATTTTGTTTGTAACAATATGATGATGATGATTGATTCAGAAAATTAATCGATAAGAAGATTTTGTATGAGGTGTTGGAAGATACATCATTATTATGGAAATCAAAGTTGTAATTGTTTAACTTGTAATGTTGAGAGAAAAGGTAAAATTGATAATAGTATCACATGGACAAGGACAACTACTTCATTAGAATAGATATTTATTTATTTTGTAAAAAAAATTACTATTATTATACTAAATAAGTTTTTTCTATTATTTTCCTCTCCTTACTTGTTGTCATCCGCTTTTAAGAAATCAATTGATATAAATTATATAAATATATATTATTCATTCCACATCCTATACTTATCTAATTCATGATTTAAAAAAATTTTATTAGTTTGATACAATATATTCTAAATCCTAATTAGAAGATTTTAATTGTTTTGATGGTGATTTTAACTTTATATCACATTCGTCCTTGTCTTCACATTTATTATCATTATCGATTTTATTAACAATGTCACCTCCATTGACATTAACATTATGACTAATTTCACCTTCTTCTTCTTCTTCTTCTTCTTCTTCTTCTTCTTCTTCTTCTTTGCCATTTCTATTATAAAAAGAACTGGAAAATTGATTATTATTATATCTCACTTCTCTTGCTAAAGGATATGACATTGTTGATGATAAATGTTGTTGTTGCTGTTGTTTATATGAAGAAGGGGGGGAGGATGATGATGAATTTCCATTAGCAGCCATTGGTGACCCATATATATTAACTGGACTAATCCCTCCCATATTTATAGGCGTGAAAGCTCCCAACGATGATGGTGATCTACCGTTAATATCATGATGATGATAAACCAACGGTGTACTTTCCTGAGATTTATAAGGTGAACTTAAAAATTCTTCCTCTTCTTGATAATAATACTCATTATTATCATAATCATAGTCACTATCGTAATTATAATCATCATCCATTGATTCATTATATCTTCTATGGCTATAACTACTATTGTCATCATAATCTGAATAATCTGAACATTCTCCGATTTGATAACAATTACCACTTCTGCCAACACAAGTACTATCATCACTGCCACTTGTACCGGCTTCTATACAAAAAAGACACTGACAACAAATAGGAAATGGTGATGAGGAATTTGTAGTTGAGTGATGGAAGTAGTATGGAGAGTAGGATGGATTTGAGATGGGAGAGTAGGATGGTGAATTTGTACCAGGTGGACTTATATGTTTAATTGACAAGAATAATTGTGGGCTACTAATAATATATTCTGGTGTGTTGTTGATTTGCAATGCTTGTTGTTGTTGTCTTAGTTCATCAGAATGTGACAATGGAGTTAACAGGTTATTATTGTTATTATTAGTGTTGTTTGAATGTGTTGGAGTAGAAATTGATTGGGGTATTGGATGAAATTGCGGGGGTGGGGGTGGAGATGAAGGTGGAGGTGGAGGTGGGGGAGAATAAAATTCTATTTGTGAAGTTGAAGGCGGTGGAAATGAAAATGTTTGTAAAGATGGTGATAATGAACAAATAATATTGTTATTGTTGTTATTATTATTATAGCGGTGGTGTACTCGTTCTAGGAGCCATCGTGGTAGCGGTGGTGATGATGGTGGAGGTGGTGGTGAAGAGTAGTTGTAGTTATAAATATTATTTAAAGTGTTTCTTGGAGTGGTTTCTTCTCGGGTGTTATCATCATTTATGTTAAAATTGACCGGTGAGGAAGTTTTTGAAATTGACATGTCTAAATTATATATATTATTATTCTTTTTTCGTTTGTCAGTCAGTCACCTTTAGAAAAAAAAAAAGTATTTTTATTATTTTATTTGTTTTTAATTTTTTTAAAAAAGTTTTTTTTTTTTTGTAAAGTAGGGAAAAATCCAAGTTATTTATACATTTGTTTTTAAATTTTTTTACGTGTCGGAAATGTTATTAGATTGTGAAACAATTATTATTATTGTTATTGTTATCGATAAAAAAATTTATTGGTTTTCCATCATTAAATAATAATAATTCTAATAACAAATCTCCCATTTGACCTTTAAGTATTTCTCGTTTGAAGGGTTTATAATTTTCTTGTATTATATCTTTTGCGCCCTGTTCTCTTAATAATAATAATTATTATTATCCATGTCTTCTACAAATTCCACCGCCACCGCTGCCCGACCACAACAACAATGACGATGATTTTATTCATCTTCATCCACTACACTGTTGTCACTTTAACATGCATTATATTATGAATCTGATTTTATTGAAGGGGTTAATGGAAATGGATATTGTAATGTTGATAACCACATTTATTTACACTTATTGTGATGCTGACTATATGATGATGGATATGAAGAAATAACAATAATAATTTTGACAGAAGGAGTGAGGATGTTGTTATAACAGACGTGAAATAATAGAAAACGATATAAAAAAGAAGCTACATTTGTGGCTATATATATATATAAAGGAATATGTGAAGTAAGAGGTCGTGGGATTGAATTAGCATATCATAAATCTACAACAACGTTGATTTGATCTTCGTCCTATACATAATAATAAAAATTTATTGTTGGTGAACAAGAAGGTTTTTGGCTTTTAGTAAAAATTTTTTTTGTTAAATCGAAAATAACTATTTTCAGAATAATAAGGAGCAAACTCACTTAATCCTTTGATAACATCTACAATATTTCGTAAAAAAGCTTAATCCAAGGTATAAAGTTCAGTTTTTAAATTTTAATGTGTGAAAAATCAATCGATTCATCAAGAAAAATTATAAATATGTCCGGTAAATTTTCATATTCTGTGAATCATCCAAAAGTTCGTAAACCAGAATGGAATCATCAAAAGGACTGAATTAATTGTTTACAAGTCAGAATTGAGCATCCAAATTATCGCGCAAATTAGCTTTTATCTTAATGGAAATTATTATTAATATCCTGTAAATCAATAATGATGATGAAACAACGTTATCATTACTTCAAATGTTGTCGATATTAACAACAAAATCGGCGAAATCAAACGACACGACAAGGAAGTCCACGTGACCAGTGTTCCTAACCTCAATATTAATTTATTATTTATTTACGAATATTCGAGTATTCATAATTATTTGTAACATTCAATGGAACAAGGATATTATGCGATACATTGGAACACTGGAATTTTCACATTCCAGTGTTCCAATGATTATTCTGGGTTACTTTTTTTAAATGTCAAGAAAACTTGGCGGAAAACTAAATTCCATGAATTTGTTTATACTGATAAAAAGATAAAGGTAAAATGTAAATAATGTACAACTAAAAAAGGATTCGGTAATGCTAAAACAGAAGCTCAGGATTTAAGAATTTCAAACAGTGAAAAATGTTGGGAAACACTCGTTAGATTGCGAAATTTTAAAGCTCTCTATTCTGATAAAATTGAATTTGTAGAAATCAGAAAGAAATAAGGTTTTTATACTCGCATTGTTTTATCGTTATTGTTATTATACGAATAAAATAAACACTGGAACAATGGAACACATAATTCCTCATAATCATTATGGACAACAAAGAAAAAATTTTATATACACTCGTAATCGTTGTGATACTCGTAACCGTTATGAATACTCGTAATTAATCTTGATCAATCATTATGGACACTCGTAACTATTTTGGATCTTTGTAATCATTATGGAGACTCATATGCGCTGATTTTGCTTGAACCCCAAAACTTAGTACAATATGGTCATAACTTTATGAATACATTATATCCATTGATTTTATTGAATAGTAAAATAGTTTTTTAGCGGTGTAAATAGATTTTTTTATACTGACCAGTTACACAATAATATTAATATTTAATATGTTGTAGACCAGGAAGTTAACGTTTTCTAGAATAGTCAGTAATTAGAATAATAAATTTATCACATTCAACTTCCTAAAAATCATTGAATATATACAAGTTAGAGAAGTTGCCATGAATAAATGCTATTATTTATTATTTATTTGTCAAAGGTGAAAATATACCTAATTGTTTGATTGTTATAATCAAGGCAGATTATTTGTCCATAATGAGATTTGAGCAAAATTTTTTTAAAATAAAATAAAAATGATAATCAAGAAATATTAAGATTGATTTATTGAATATGTAAAAGTTTTGAAAAAGATGACTCATCATTGACATACCATAAATGGTCCTTGCAAGTAGATGGAAGAAGCAAATTATAGAATTAAAGAAATTTAATAAATGATAAAGCAAGCTTTAAATAAAATGTGCACAATATTAATAAATTGTATTTTTTATTCATGCAAAAGTACTATAGTATGTAAATAATCCAATGGGAGAAGACTTTAAAGGAAAGATTAAAAACAAAGAGAATCAGTTAATTTTTCTAAATAATTTTTCATAGTTATCATCTGAAAACTTGTAAAAAATCATTTAAAGAAAAATTCTAGTCATCATTTCTCTTATTTAAATTCCTCTAATATCTTGGATTGATTTTGATCATTTGATTCTTTCGTTTTTATTAATATTAACTTTGGAATCATCAGACTAAGATCAAGTTAAAGAAAGAAAGAAAAAAAAATTTTTTGTCATTTTTACTTTTTCATTTTATTTACGATTTTCAACCAATCAATTACAACTAGACATTCGTATTACAATTTCACGTGATGATAATATTTTAATCTTCAAATTTATTATTTTATATTGAAGAATAATCTCAATAGAAATGGAAATATGCGTTTTGGGTGAATTTATTCCTTTTGGTACAAATTCTGATAATAACAATAATAATAATAATAATTCAAACGATACTTATAGATTATATAGTGGATTCAATCCTTCTACTAATAAGATCAATGAAGAACAGGAGGATTTTGATGAAGAAATTTATGTTTCAAATAAAATAGTTGTTTGGAGTAGAGGCAATGTATTATACAAGAGTTTTAAATATGATGAGCCTGTAATTCAAGCTTTATTCGTTTGGTTTAAAGTAGATCAACGACAACAATCTAATAATTATACTACAACTTCCACTAATAACAACAACAGTCACAACAAAGATTTATCTGGTAGGCAACGTTGTCTGTTTGTAATTCTTGAAAATTCTGCTAAAGTCTACTTCCTAGATGGTCAACAATTCCTATTAAGAATTCCCTTTGTTGTAAAAAAAGCTTGGGCAATGAATCTAGGAGTATTATTCCAGTGTCAACATAAAGATATTGATGAAAATGATGATTATTACCATTATCATACTAGAGACTATATAAATTATTCAAAATTTGCAAAGTTGCATTTACCAACTTTATACAGTCTACTAGATCCTTTAGAAGAAATAAAACCTGTTTCAATAGTTGATAAAATTTATTATGATGGTTCAAATATTAAATTGTCAGGTCACAAATTTCTATTCACATATCCTGATGAACATATAGTGTTTGTTAATGATCAATGTGAAAATGGTAATCATATAATAGTCACTTTGAATCAATTTACTTTACGACATTCTGTATATAGATATATTGTTAAAAAAGAAAATTTAGCTGCTGCTGCTGTTGCTGCTGTTGCTGCTACTGCTACTGCTGTGAATGATAAAGCTGAAGTGTACATTGAGCTTGTATGGACTGAAGATATTATTGATGTACAACAGATGTAATTATCATTTTTATACAATTATTTATTTTTATTTATTTATATTTTTGTTTATTGTAAATTTTGTTATTATTATTGTTATGTTGAATAATCTTTTTCAAATTTAATTTATTAAAAGTTTATTCTTGATAACAGTGAGCCATGCATTGAGGAGAATGAGAATGAAGAAGAGCATAATAGCAAAGTATTCATTGCTCATGAATTTGATGGTCATGAAATCCTATGTTTATTTTTACAACAAAAACAAAAGCAACAATCAATCAATAATAAATTCAAAGCTCTTAACTTGATATCTAATAATTTCTCCAGTGATGGCAGCTGTTATGAACTGGAAATAACACCAAATTTTGAGTTAAATAATGTAATTGCTGCTGAACCTGTTTATGCAACTAGATCATTGCTTTGTGATGTTTTATTATTGAAAAAAATTAACGATGACAGTTACATGCTTGAGCTATGGATTGGTTGTGGCGAATATGTTCTTTTGCAACTGGATTATCATCTAAACACTACACTAAAACTCAACTCTAATTCATCAAAAATTAAGAATCTCAATTCAACATCAATACTTAATCACTCTGAAATTAATAATTGTGTTGATTCATTAGCTAATACTAATACCAATGCCTCATCATCATCACCATTGTCATCATCGCCATACCTTTCAAATGCTTCAAATATTAGTAAAACAAATGATTATAATCAAGATATTAATTCTGTTATTGATCCATCAATAGAAAACTTTGTGTACTTTGTTTTATCAAAAAAGAAAGAAGATAATCTTAAAAACGTGTTCTCCTCATCTACATCCTCATATACATCATCATCATCATCGAGTGATTTGAATTACAAAGTAAATTTAAACATAACAACAAAAGATATAATTGACATCCAAGACAATGTTCTACATCGTGTAAATATAGTTCTCAATAATCATGTTTGTCTACGAGCAGACCTCAACTTTATTCCCAACTCATTACTAGTTCGTAATTGTCTAGAGGCGCTTAGTTATGCTCTACCCACAAAAATATTTTTTATTTTCAAAGCTCGTTATCTTACTTATCAATTCAGAAGATTTGATACTAATTCATCTTCACTAAAAGAAAATAATACTGAATGGGAAAATTTTGTTATTATACTTTTCTCATTTTTCAGCTCCATGTATAATAACAAAAATTTCAACATTGAAACTGATGGTGACATTGATATTGACAATAATGACATTGATAATGGTGATAATAAGATAAAAGAATTGGATGGTTGGGATTTTCTATTGTCAACCACAGATCATAAAAAATTCAATTTCAACACCCATTTCAAATGTTTAAAACCACCACCAACCTCACCCTCTACTCCTCAATTAAAATCAACACAAGAAAAAGATATCGAAATAGATGATTTATTATATAAACTATTTCAAAAATCTAGAAAACTTCATTTTTCCAACTCACATCAACAGCAAAAAATAGAACAACTAGAACAATCATTTCCAGATTTTCTTCCCTACATCCTGCTCTCACTACATTTGATTTATCAAGATATGAGATTAGATGTTTTGTCGCAAAAATTAATCAATGATCTTGTACCTTTGTTAATTCAATTAGCATTATTTCTTGGTTGGAATCATTATGTTGATTATTATAAAAGATATTATGGAATTCAAAATCATTTAAAATTAATAAATGGTACTTTTAATTAATTAATTAATTAATTAACTTACTTTATTTTTTAATTTTTAAAATTTTATTAATTATTTTGTAGAAGTGATTAAAGAAACAAAAATACAACCAACTCATCTATTCTATACACCGCCTGACATAATCAAATGGTTAATGAATTTATTCCGTTCTAAAAAATTCAAATACTTTCCAAGCCCAATTGATATTACAAAACTATTATCATCAGCACTACTAGATCTACAACAAAATAATGATTGTGATTATGATGATGACGTTAATAATATGGTACATGAGGTAGACTGTTGTTTAAGAACTAGACAAATTATAAAGATCTATAATAAGTTGATTAATGGTAGTAATAATGGTGGTGTGGAATCAATGATATTGAAAATGGTTGATATTGGATTTAAACACAAAGATATTGAAGCATTGCCATTTGGAGTTTCTGTTCCTTTACATGAGGCTATTAGAAAATGTCGAGAACTGCCACCGAGCAATTGGCCGGCTGATGCCTACATTCTAATTGGTAGTTTTTTTGGTTTTGGAATGGGAACATTTTGTCGCCTTTAATTATCACTAATCAATTGTTATGAATAAAATTATAGGTAGAGAAGATTTAGCGGAATTAGAACTTGGTAAACCGATAGGTTACATACATTCAAGAGGCGTAAGAAGGGAACCAAAACCAAGGTACCAGGCAGAAATAATCGATACAGTTCTTCATCCAAGGCCAGGTGTTTCATTGGACGAAGTTGACAGCACGGAAATCTCAAATCATGAAATCACTGATTTAAGATTTGGTAAAGATAAGAGATTGGATGAAGTTCGTCGTCTTTTACAAAATACTACTGTCGTCAAGGTTGATTTGCCTGCTTCTGAACTAAGGTAGCATCAAAAGAATAATTATAATAATTATAATTATTATTATTCAACAAATATATTAATTAATTACTTATTTAACCACTCAATCAATCAACAAAAAAAAAACAAAGTTCCCCTAATGAAGAACAATCACCACAAATTGTTGAGCGTGTGCAAGCACACTCAATAAAAAATTTTGCATTACCATTAGGTCGTGGAATAATGACATACGACACAGCAACTCCAATATCAACTGAAATTTTTCCAATACCAAGCCTAAATACAACCATGAAAGTATTACCATACAACACTGTTGTACAAATAGATCGTGCATTTCGTGTACAAGACTGTTTAGAATGGCCAGAATTTCATGAGGGTGTAGCATCTGCTTTAAGAATATCACCCACCTCCAAAGATGTAACTGGCTCATGGATTGAGCTCAACAAACCAAAGGAACTTAACAACAGCCATGCAGGATTCCTTATGGGGTTGGGAATTAATGGTCACTTGAAATCAATGGGAATCTGGCAAGCTGTAGACTATTTGATGAAATCACCAAAACATGATATGACAAATATTGCATTAGTCATCGGATTACCAGCATCATACTGCGGAACAATGAATTCTGATATCACAAGAATGTTGGCTGTCCATATTACTTCAATGTTACCACCAAAATCTAATTATCTAAATGTTTCACCATTGATTCAAACTGCTTCATTAATCGGAATTGGGTTGTTGTATATGGGCACATGTAATCGATACAATACACAAATCATGTTATCTGAAATTGGTGTCAAGGCTTTAAAACGGTCAAATAGTTCTGAAACAGATTATACAGAAGGCTATTCACTAGCTGCAGGATTTGCATTAGGATTTATTGCTTTGGGTCAAGGTGATGATGCACATGGAATAGCTGATCTTAATCTTTCTAGAGAATTAAGACTTTATATTACTGGTGGTGCTAGTAGTGGTGCTAATGGTAAAGGAGGTAGTGGCGAGAATAATGGTGATAATTATATTGGTGGAGGTGCTCTAGCTACTGGTTTAGGTGGTAAACTAACTGCGACTTCATCTTCTTCAACTTCAACAACAGAAGGTAGCAATTTAGGAAGCACCAACAATGTTAACAACATTAATGTGACATCACCAAGTGCAACAATAGCACTGGGTTTATTATACTTGAAAACAAATAAATTAAACATAGCCAATAAAATTCCTATTCCCGAAACAGAATTCTACTTGGACTATATACGGCCTGATTTTTTATTGGTTAGAATATTAGCTAGAAATTTAATAATGTGGGATAATATTAGATCTTCACAAAATTGGGTTGAAAATCATGTTCCTAAATATATGAAAGTTAGATTAAATAATCGTAGTCATTATCAAAATGATGATTTTGATTTAAATTTGGAACCGATCAAAAGAGCTTATTATAATATATTGGCTGGTGCTTGTTTTAGTATGGCATTGAAATTTGCTGGTTCAACAGACCAGAATGCATTAAAATGTCTTATTCATTATCTTGACTATTTCATAGGTCTTAGCAATTCAAGAGCAATGACATTTGATCAAAAAATTACAAAATCCACCATTAAATCATGTTTAAATGTATTGGCAACTTCAACATCAATAGTAGTAGCGGGTACTGGTAATCTGGATGTGCTAAGGAGATTAAGAAAATTGCATCGACAAGAAGTAAATCTTCCAGGAGCACATAATCTAAATTCATATGGTACCTACACAGTAACAAGCATGGCATTGGGTTTTTTGTTTTTGGGCGGTGGACATTATACACTCTCAACATCAAACAAAGCAATTGCTGCATTGGTTTGTTCGTTGTTTCCCAGGTATCCAATAGAACCATATGATAACCGAGCCCATTTGCAAGCTTTTAGACATTTATGGGTTTTGGCAGTTGAGCCTCGATGTTTGGTTTTGAGAGACTTGGAAACAAGAGAGGCATGCCAGGCACCAATTAAAATAATATTTGAAGATTATTATAATAGTAAAGAAGTGAAGTTAACAAAAGAAAAAAGCAGAGGAGCAGGAGAAAACAATATTATTGTTAGCAAGGAGAAAGAGGTTATTAGTAACATTGTTGCAGACATCAAGATAAAAGAATTTGTTGCACCATGTTTATTACCTGAATCTAAATTTATCAAAACAATTGAAATCAATAGTCCAAGATATTGGCCTATTAATTTAAACTTTGGTAAAGATATAGATTTTGATAAAAGATTTTGGAGGAATCCTACAATTCATTTAAAAAGGAAAACAGGGCATTTAACTTATCAAGAGGTAAAGATATCATAAATATATACACATAAATAAATAACTAATAATAACACAATATGTATATGTATATGTATAGGATCCACAAGGAATATGGAATTTATTTACGCGAATAATTCCTGGAGGTAGTAGCATGTATATTGGTAACAAGAAAAAACTTACCATTGAGAATAAATATGATTTTATAAAAATATTTTCATCAGATCCGCAAGTTTTAGCATTTACACAATACTTGTGTGAAAATACATCATCATCATCATCATCAGGTGTAGAGAGTGAATTATCATCATTCTGCACAGCAATTTTGACAGAATGTCTATATTTGGATAATCCAGAAGCAATTCAGATGTATCTTGCACTATATCAGATTCAACAAAACTTGGAACACTTGAATGAAAGTAACTTATGTAATGCAGTTTTAATTCTAGAGTATTATAAAAATGCAAAAAATATTTCCTCGTCCAAAAAAATCAATACAATTGACGATGATATTATTGCTAGTAATAGAATTGATAGTAATGGTGGTAAAGATGATTATAATGAGGAAGTGGGTGACGATAAAAGGCTTATTAATAAAGAATTTGAAGCATCATTAAAATTAAAATTAAAGCAATTCTTTGAAATTCCTTTCACATTTTTTCTTTCGCCATGTCCTTTGAATATTAACATCACTGATCAACAACAACCAAATCATCATCAAAAACAACAACAATATTTAGTACAACTAATAAAATGTTATTTAACCAATTCGGAATTTCCCAGTAATGAGGAACTTGGTGGTAATGAAAATAAAAAACAATTACTACGTCAATTATCATTATGGCTCAATTATAATGAAATACCTGATCATTATACCATATCCACAGTTAAAAATTATGTAATGGAATTAAAAAATAAAATAAATCAAAAGCAGGAATTATTGACATTAGATAGTTATGATGATGATAACAACAATAATGATTATATGGATATTAGTGATGGGAATGTTAGTGACAATTATAAAGATAATGATGATAATAATAATTCATGTATAATGACATCTGATGATGTAATTTTACAATTTCTTGCAACCTTTTGGCCAAATCTTTCTTTAAACACAATAAAAATTATTCAACAATGCTGTTTTAATAATTAAAATTGGGGGATTTATAATTAATAAAATTAATATTAATATGTAATATACTGCAAAAAAAACCAACACGTCTTTCTTGCTCTGTTCTTGGCTTTCATGACCTGTTAATCTCTTTTGTTTCATTTAGTTTTCTTCTCATTCATTCAATGATTTCTTTTTAAGTTTTCAATTTCCTGCTTTAAATTTGTCATCTCATTTTTCAAGTCACTTATTTCATTCTTTTCATTCAATTGCTGATGCAAACTTCAGTTTTCATTAGTTAGTTGTTGAATTAGACTATCTTTATTTTGATTGTCATTTATTTCTTGCTCGACTATTTTTGCTTTCAATGGCTTGTTTCAGCTCTTCATCATTTCGTTGATTAATTTTATTCCTTCTTTGGGCATTCCCACCATCTAATTGTCTTTTATATCAATCATCCATTACTTGAGCATGTCCTTGCTCAATGGCTAATCCTTCTCTTAAATTTTCAATATCTTGATGAGCCAAACTTACGTGTTCAGTTGCTTCATCTAGTTGTCCTCGTTTCTCTGCTACTTTTCTTTGGAATAAACTCACTCACCGAATTTGACCTTTAAATTTTCTTCTTTCTTCTTTATAAAGCCTAATATTAAAAAGTACCAATATAAACCATGAAGAGCCTAGAAAAAACCAAAAGGTAGAAGAGAAATAGTTTGCGGCCCAACTTGACGATTTTACAAATAATAAATAACAATGTGCATTTAATTATCTATAATAAAATTTATAATTTTGTTTTTTCTTGATTGTTAACCAGTTTAATAATTATATCCAATTTGTTTAATGAATTGATTGCTTTCTACACTAAAACAAGATCTTGGTTTTTTTTATTGAATTTTTACAGGACCCCGAACAATCTTAGGAGATGGTACATTTCAATTTTGGGTATATAGAAATGGCCCTCAAAATCGAATATCATTTCTTAATTAGGATAAATTTTGCGATGATCTTGTAAATTATTTCCAAA